TAACCATCGAAGGCGACTACGACAGACACAACAAAGGGAAACTCCCCTTTTGTCTGGTGCTGACACCGCCAGAATACAGAGGGCGCAGCACTGCCACAATGACAGCGCCAGCACGCCTAACACTGCATCATGGGAGTAAATCCCAAGGAGAGTTGACCTCCCCCTCACCAACCCACACCATTTCCCCTATAAATAGCCCCCATGGGCACACCTTACAGGTATCTTATGTATCGTTATACTGCCCATTTACTCTAGTCATATCATCCATTTGCTTATTATCTATTCACTGCTTACGCTTGGCTTTATACTTCTTAGCCTGGTCTGTATCAGTGCTAAGGGTATTATCCATACATTGACTCATCCCCTTCGGGAACATAGTGGGCTTATAGATCTCATCGGTACACCCCTGATGCCATGATAGGTTCATTTCCACCTAAAGCCAAGTAAGAGACATATCACCGATGAGTTTACTTCATCACTGTGCCAGAATGAATCAACTATTGCTAAGTTTTTATACCTCATTAACTGCTGAGAGATGGTGGCATTTTCTAAGAGTAGGGTGAGCTCTGTGATGCCAAATTTGCTAACACCAATAGACTTGACATTTTTTTTTTCTCGCCAAAAGGTGGCATTTTGATGGTTGTCCCAAGAGAAATATGCTTGCTGGAGTGTGGTCTTGAGAGCTGGGAGAACAAGGTCATGGTGGGCATAAGCGTTCAATAACTTTGAATTAATGAACACTTCATCACGATTCTTTATAAGGCCTTGCTCTAAAGCCTTTGACACAGCTTGGCCTAGAGGTTCTTCGGAATCATAGATAACAGCTATGAAGCATTGTTTCGACACGGCATTTTCGATACGTTTCCAATACATTCTCTATATGACCGTCAATTCGTCGATACGATACAATACGTTTTCGATATGTGTATCCAATACGTTGGAAAATAAAATTTCGGAGTATCGGTGCTTCGTAGAATAGCAGCAGTGTCAAAATATCTGTAGCCAATGTCAATGGCATCAACCAAAATTGAGGTGAGGGTTTCAAGAAGTGAAAGAGGTCTTGTTGCACTTCCCAGGCCTATCATGGGCATCTTATCCCAGATATTTAGTACTACATGTGGAACTCTCTTTGGTTCCATGTTCTCTTGTATTGGTTCAACGCTCAAGCTTTCCACAATTGTTTAACATGTTAACTTCGAGACTCTAGTTTTCAATAAAAATGTCCAACAATTGTTCCACGTGTTAGGTTGCATAAATGAAAATTCAAGACCCACGTAAGCTATTATTATTGTATTCTGGACTATTTGTCCCCTAATTTGGTTGCCGACTGAGTTTTCAAGAAAATTGGTTGATTTGTAAAATATATTTCATGATGTATATTTGTATTTTTTATCAAAGGAACAATATTTTTTAGAAATATTATGCATTCGTTCTTTTCCAAATAGCCCTAGTAACCAAGCAAATTTCATAAGCACTTACCATAGAATGTTAGTGCAATATGGTGGTGACAGCAACAATGCTTGCTGCTTTTGTTGGTAAGGATGGAAGGGCAAGTGACAAGAGGCATGTATGTATGTATATTTGGTATTTATTTATTATGTTTTTCTTAAAAAAGGAAGAAGAAGTAACACTTGAGACCCAAAAAGTTATGTGATCTCATTTACTAGCTATTGTTTACCATTTCTTGCTTGAAACCGACATTGTGTATCAGTATCATATATGCATTAAGAGTATTTTGTTTTATTTGGAGTTGGAACGAATATGGCAGAGCCACAGAGATTTCACACCTTTGAAGCGTGGCGCATGACAATGCAGCCACATAACCAAAACGTTACATTTGAGTGACACATGCAACACCAAACCTCAATGCTCTACATCAATGTCATACTCTTATTCAACTCTAAATCACTCGCTACACAAGGTTTCAATCAAGGACATTTGTAAAGCAAGTACTAAGGTTAGCTTGGTCTAAATATGAATTCAGAGCCAACCATGATTGCTAATGCTAATCCAATAATATAGTTTATTTACCTAATTAATATAAGACAAGCTAATAACATGGAATTCATATCTTAAAGTTTATTTACCTAATTAATATCCAATAATATAGTTTGAACTTTTGAAGAAATTTTCAAACATCACCATCCCAAAGTTCTTCCAAGGTCTTGCATGATCCATTTTCAGATAGCCACATGTCCCCTGTGAATTGCCTTTGCTGTGGAATCTGTTTAATCTTCTCTAATTCTTCTTCACTCAGCTCAAAATCAAATATTTCAAGGTTCTGTTTCATCCTCTCCTTATTGAAGCTCTTAGCCATGGCACTTGACCCTTGTTGGTACACCCATCTAAGTGCAACCTGGAATGACAATATGGCCATGAATTAATGTAGCAAGAACATTAACTTAAAAAAAAAAAAAATTCATTTCCCATTAAATCCAGTACCATCCTTATACGCATTCTTATTCTTGCATATTTATAAAATACTTGTTTTCCATATTCGAATCCGTGAGTGTTTCTATTTGAAAGTGTTTGAAAGTGTTTGATTGATTAAGCCATAAGCAGTGGCTTCTTTTTCTTCTGATAATTATTTGTTTATTTTTTTCAGAATGTGTAAATTATTGAAACTCACAATTGATGAACAAGAAGTTTTTCTTGTTTATAATGTTCAATTACCTGAGCTATGGTCTTCCCTTTTGCCTTTGCTATGTCATGGAGGATTTGATTCTCCATGACTGCTCCTGAACCCCAAAATATCTTATAAGCTCCAAGTGATGACCAAGCACTAACATGAATCCCTTTCTGTTTGCAGAACTCCCTTAGTTTCCCTTGCTGCCATGATGGGTTCATTTCCACCTTAAAAACCATAATATAACATCATAACCATAAGTGCCAAGAGTCACAAGACAACTATGATGATAACAATGTACAAAAACAAATAGATCTCTTTGGGTACTAATCACATTATGATACCTGATTAACTGCAGGAGGGATTGTGGCTATTTCAAGGAGTTTGGTGAGTTTTTTGGTACCATAATTGCATATGCCAATAGACTTTGCTAAGCCCAACTTGTAACACTCTTCCATGGCTTTCCACGTCCCTTCTATATCAAAGGGCAATAAATCTTCTTTGGAAAAAATTGTTGGGTTTTCAAGATCATGCCTCAGCCTCACTGGCCAATGAATCAGATAAAGATCCACATACTCCATATTCAGCTTTCTAAACAATAGCGTGTAGAACATACAAAAAATTTAAGCAACATTAATTTTGAGAAAACAATAAATAAAAGGAAAACAAAAACACACTATTAAGATCATTAGAAACAAAGTGAGAAAAGGCTACAACAACAACAACAAAAAAAGTGAGAAAAGGAGATTATAGTTACTTTAATGTGGTCTTGAGAGCTGGGACAATAAGATCATGATGTGCATCTGTGTTCCATGGCTTTGAAGTGATGAAAACTTCATCTCTACTCTTTATAAGGCCAAGTTCTATAGCTTTGGCCACAGCTAGGCCTATAGCTTCCTCTGTTCCATAAACAGAAGCACTATCAAAATGACGGTAACCCACTTCAATGGCATCAACAAAGATAGAAGAAAGGGTGTCATTTGATGGACGATTTTCCACTGAAGTTCCCATGCCAATAACTGGCATTTTGTGACCAGAGTTCAGCAACACATCTGGGATTTTCTTTCCTGCCATGTTTTTTTTTTCTTTGTTTTTCTGTAACTTTGCCACAAAAATGTAACTAGGAATAGAAGGCACAACTCTTTTAAAGTGGTTAAGTGCTATGGTGAGTGTTTGTCCTAAAGATGCTTTAATTTCAAATAATGCAAAGGAAAGTGATAATGTAAAGAGGGTACCTATGTTGTGTCCACTCGTTGGGATATTTGGTTTGAGATTATGGGTCCACATTCTAGGCTATGTGGCATGTGGAATGAAACTCACAAGTCACACTTGATAATAGACAATTATTGTACTTTAAAATATGAGGCACTATGCTGCTTAGACAAAGCATGTGCCACGTAGAGAGGATTGAAAACGAGGCATTTTGACCGTAGTGACATAAAAAGGCAACTTTTTCATATTAATTTAAAATTTAAATACTTTATCAAATTATTGGGTGAGTTTAGTGATAAGTGATAACATTACTCACCCCCGTAGGCTGTGAGTGGTCGGGAATCGAACTCAGCCTGTGGGAGTGAGTAGTGTTACCACTTATCATTAGACTACCCTTAATTGTTAGTTAAAATATATCTTATAATATATTTATTTTATAATATAATATAAATTTAAGACAAATGATAGTGAGTAGTGTTATCACTTGCCACCATTAGGTTATTCTTAATTATTGGTCAAAATACATCTTACAATATATTTATTATATGATTTAATATAAATTTAATTAAACTAGTTGAGTCAATGATCTAATGACTTAGTACCTCAATCGAAGCGATGAACATGTCGAATTTTAAAATACCAAGAGAGAAAAAGGCACCACTTCTATATGTTTTTGTCTTCATGCGTTTTGATGTAAACTAAATTCATATATAAAACAATATAATTTAAAAAGAGATGATATATATATATATATATATATATATATATATATATATATATATTCAGTTTCTAATTAAGTGCAACATGATGTACTCTGGTGATCATGTAATCCTTAAAGAGAAGAAAACAATATACACATACGGCATACCTATTCTCTGAGGATCTTATTATTAATTATTGGATTCGTATCAATTTCATATCAGAAATATACTTTAAGGAATAAATTAAGTAAATAATTGTTGCAATTTATGGGAAAAAGATTGTTTAAGTTGCATAGAAATATAATCATACATATAGGTAACAAATCATAGATTTGTTACAATTATTCTCTTATTAAACTTGTTTATTTAAGTATAGTTTTTAAAGGAACTGACATACATAGTTTTCTCCTTCAATATATAAAGGGAAGGAGGCAAAGAGTATTCTAGAGATTCATGTCTTGTCACTCCCAAAGATCTTCAATAGTTTTGTAAGGTCCATTTTCAGAGACAAAACGTTCTCCTTTGAAAGCCCTGTATTGAGGTATTTGATTGGTTTTCTCCAAATCAACATCGCTCAGCTTCCAATCAAATATTTTAATATTTTCTTTCATTCTCTCTTTGTTGAAGCTCTTCACTATTGGAGTAACACCTTGCTCTATTATCCATCTTAATGCAACCTGCAATAGCAGAGTAAATTTCACATGGACGAGGGTGGTTTGCTTTTTTCTTTAGTTGTCATGCTGTAATTAAACTCAAGCATGACATAACTATTTTTCAAAAAATAAGATTAGATAGCCAACAAAAAGTCAAAATTGACAACTTCCGGTGTACAATCCAAACTAGAGGATAGGGATCAGTATTAATCATATGTAGCTTTATTTTTACATTTTTACAACAACAAAAAATTGTTTTCAAATTTGGAGCATATTTTTTTTGTGTAACGGGAATAACTATTCACTTACCAAAAATAGAAAAAAAAAAGATGATTTTCTAAAGAAATAATCATAAAAATAAGTTGATGTTAGCAATGAATTGTACTTAATTTAATGGGCTGATTTCTGTTTTATCTTGACTGTAGAGTGTTGAAAATACTGGTAATTGGGACTAAAGAGAACCAATATGGCCCATTTGAGGAAAAGGTAAAATAATGAAAGTAATTGTATTTTTACTTACAAAATTTTACCTCATTGCTTTCAGATAAGAAAAAAAAGAAGGCCATGTGGGTGAGATGTAAGGCTGGAACAATTCTGAACCATTTGATGAACAAAAAGAAGCACATCCAGTAGTACTTTGGATGATTTTTAGTTTTTTTTTTTTTAGTTAATAGGCGTTTTCTGAGTGTGATATACACATTGAAGTCTATTAATTTTCGTTTTTAGTTGAGAGAGAATTTTTCTTTAGAATCTTCTTGCACATTTTGTTAAACTTGGTGTATTAGTATTCTGACTCTTGAAGAAAGGGAATTGACAAGCTTCTTTCTAGAGATATCAAAGATCCAACACATGCAAGCTTTGAAATTCTGCAATTATGAGTAGTTCTAGTATTAGGAGTTTTTCATTTCAAGAAATACTGGTTTGTAACTTACTGCTGTTAAGAATGGTACGGGGAGCCCAAAACCCATTGCAAGAGATACATCTATGGGCCAAGCGATAAACCACAATAAGTGGGCCGACACCACATTTTAACCCAAAACTTTAAGGCTGTAGGTTTATGGGTCTTTTTGCAGTTATATAGTCATCACTTGGTCTATGTCTAGTCGATGTGGTACTTCTTTATAACTCATACTTGAATACTTCCAACATCTTCCCCTCAAGTATGAGACCCAACATTATGCTCCCCCTTAAGGGCAACTTCTGCGGAAGTCTTTTTTCTTTACGTATTGGAGTCACACTAGCCTTCTGCGGAGGCCTTGAAACATCACCATCTCTAAATACCCGGCCCAGCCAAACCTTTGGCTCTGATACCACTATTGGGAAATTCTTTCCCTCAAACTCCAATGTCAAGCGGGTCCAGGGGAAGCCCGTGGCGGGGGCCACCACCAATGAGCTAAGGCTACACCAACCGTAGCAACTGGATCCGACACCATGTCTCAACCCAAAACCTTAAGGTATTGGGTTCATGGGTCCTTTCACTTATATACTCTTCACTTAGCTCATTACCAACCAATGTGGGACTCATCACACTTGATATCCCAACAATTGCACTCTACTTTTCCTTTCCCTTTTGCATTTGATAATGCATGTTACTTCAATTTTAGAATTTTTAGTTTTGTTCTTGATAATATGGCTAGCTAAATTTTTTCTTTTCTGGAATTCAAGATGATTGGATAAATCTTTTTTTTTTTTTACTAAACATTGTTATGACTTCTTTTATTTCATTTGATTAGCAACTCTTTTAGTTTCAAGAAATCTTGGGAAAGATTCTTGAACATTCTTGCAAGAATTATGATTGAGAAATCAAGTGAATGCATTCTTGCTAATTGAACCCTTTAGGTTAGGGATAACCAGAGGAAGAATTTGACATTTTTTGGATAAAGATTCAAAAGACCTTGAGAAATAATTCTTTTGGGGATTAAAACTGGAATTGGAAAATTTCAGCAAAATAACTTTAGTAGTTCAAATTCTGTGATGAAAGTGTCTTAGCAGTGGTAAAACACAGGGATGTGAATTGCTGAAGTTCATGAATTAAGAATTCCAAGATCTTTTCATTATTGATATTTGTTACTTAATCATTTTAGTTCCATTTTTTAATCCAGTTTTAATTACAAAACTAATTTTATTCAATTCTTCAGTTTAAAAGATTGGTCACTTACAATCCAAGAATTAAGGAATAGAACGAAAAAGAAATTAAAATCAATTGTTTCCTAATAAAGATTCTGATCATCTGATCTATACTACCCAAGAGGTGATTGATTCACTATCTCATAGCATGGGAATATTTTCCCAAATTTAAACCGGTAACTTTATTACTAGAAACAAGCTTACCATTATTCCAAAACTCACTATCTATTAGTTAGGCAACAAACAAAGACTAAGGATATTCTAATTACTAAAAATTTTCACTACTAACTTACTACCCATCACATCACCATTGGATCAAATAGAGAGAATGTTAAAAAGTTTTTGAAGAGAGAGAAAATGTTAATCTAATGGTGATTAGATAGATAGTAAGTTGATTGTGAAAAATTTTGGTAGTGAGAATATCTCTCCTCACAAACAAAACCAAAACTTTGTATGATGGAAAAGCACAGAAATCCGAGTGAGAAAAATCACCTGTGCTACAGTTTTGCCCACAGTAAATGCAATGTCCTTTAGGATTGGACTGTCCATGACAGCAAGTGAACCCCACTGAGCTCCATTAGCTCCCAAAGGGGACCATGCACTCACGTGAATTCCATTCTCTTTGCAGAATTTTCTCAGATTTTCCTGCTGCCATGCAGCGTTCATTTCCACCTGCAAACAATGCATTTTACTTTTGGATGAATGACAGAACATAAAGCTGAGAATTCATGTGGAAATCAGTTTTTTTTTTTTATGGTATTTTCAAACTAATTATTAAAGAATACAACAGTGCCATTTGTTTCACAAGTCCTGTGTAAGTCATATACTTTACCATTTATTTAGACTGATTCCTAACTCCTTTCCCTTTTTTCTTATAACTTCGATGATCATTTTTTTTTTTCACTTGTAAGATTATTCAAATAAGAGAAATATATCAAATGATGATAGCTCAGTTGGTGTATGAGAGCTGAGGAGGTGGGGATGAGAGCATCTATTTGATCTTCTCCATTACAACCTTTGGGAGAGATTTAAAGCCTTAATCCTAGACGATCCACTCCGAATCAGACTAGTCGCAAAACGATGAACCGATTAGAATATTTAAAAGAAAAAAAGAGAAATATGAACTATATAACTTAGACTCATTTTTTTTTATGATTTACAATAAATTAAGATTTAATTTATATATAATTTTAATATAGAAAGATTAATGTTTCGGTTTCTAAAAAAGAGATTAATGATTCTCATCTAAGCAGGAGATAAGTTATCTCCTACACAAATATTGGAGTGAATGACTATCCACGTAGATATATGTGCAAGAGATAAGTTATCCCCTCATATTTAGAGAAACATTAAACCCTTCTCAATATCATGGATTATATATAGTTTCATATATTCACAATTAGTGATCATAAATCTTAGGTAAATAGAATGGGATTGTTGATAAAGTTTTAAAGTCATTTACAAATCTTTGTTGACATCTTATCAGCCTAAACTTTGGATCCTCCGTGTCAATTTTTCAACTATTGTTCCATCGCTATCTGCTAATCAAATAAAACAGCTTTCCATCCCATTTCTCCCGGTAAATATGACATGTAATACTTCTCCTTCTCGCTCTTTTCCCGTGCCAAGAAACATATTTCTATTATTCCTGAAATATTCGATTCTCTAATTACCCGTGTAATCCTACTATACCTTATTGTTGTTCTGCTCGTATTACTCATATGGTAATGGGATCCATTATATTATCTCCTATCTATACCCTTACGTGTGGGTTGTTATGCTCATATTACTCATGTTGGATTCTTTATATTATTTCTTGATTTTGTTCTTAATTGTGTCCTACTTATTCTAACCTTTTAATACAATTTTCTTTCTATTATTCAACTAACCTCACATTCAAACCTTCAAATGCCCTTTTAACTCATTCTCGTTTTTTTAGGACCCACTTTTGAAGGAGACCATCACAAGCAGCAATAGTCATTGTGGTCTATGCTTTCGAAATTCAAGTGTGAGTTAGTGAAATCTTATATTGATTAATAATGGACTAAATGAGTATGATATAATTAGAAGGACTCATAACCTAATACCGTAAAGTTTTTAGTTAAGTTGTAGGGTCTAAGTTGACTTAATTTTGTTGCTCAGATGGTTTCTTCTTGCTATGAACATCCCCTGTTGGTCCAACAATTTCTAAATCCTCATCTTGATGTCTGGGGTCCACACCAACTAACCTCTTATATAAATGAAATGGGACTATTGAAAAATCTCTAAAACCATTCACAAATCTCTATTAAATCTCATGCTAGTATATTATTATGAGATTTCATTCAATAATAATAAGAGTTGTTAAGAAGGGAATGGCAATTAGTATACTAATGTATCACTATCATTTCTCTTTTACGAATTAATTTTTATTTACCATACAGTTGATTTCTTGAAATACCTAATCAAATGGACAATTACAAAGCAATTTGTGAATTAATAACCAACATCAAACAATAACAAGTTTTAAGGGGCATTTTCAAGATGATGGTTGGTCCAGGTCAAGGGCTCACCTCTGCTTGGCCATTTTCCCTAAGCCCAGAAGCCTCATTCCCAATCAAATACACATATGTCCATAATTATATAAGCAAACGAAATGTGAACATTTTTGTAAATTGAGATCACACTTGTAATAGAAGCATACCTGATCAACAGCAGGAGGAATAGTTGCAATTTGTAGGAGTTCAGAAAGCTTTTTGACACCAAAATTGCTTACACCAATAGACTTGGCCAAGCCCAATTTAGAGCACTGTTCCATGACTTCCCATGTCCCTTTCATGTCAAAAGGAAGAATGTCTCCTTTTTCATACTTAGCCCCTTTAACCCCTTGTCTCAACCTCAATGGAAAATGGATCAGGTAAAGATCCACATACTCTAGGCCCAACCTCCTTATAGAATGTCAAGAACAAAAAAAATAGAGAAAATCAAACCCAACACATATAATCAACACAAATCAAGAGAATTTCATTTTCTATTTCTAAATTATAACAATAAAACTGATGGATGGGAATGGATTCTCAATCTCATGTCACATGACCTTACGTGACACAATCTCAATCATCATAAATAAAAATAATTAAAGATAAAAGAAAACTGTTAAAATAAATAAATTATTATTGATTTATAATCGTATTACATCAGATCGTGTCATGTGACATGAGAATGATCCATTCGCTTAAAGGATAGTAGAATTACTCTAGAGAGCTCTTGAGTGCTGGAATCACAAGAGCAGGATGAGCATCAGTGCACCATAGCTTGGTAGTGACAAAAATCTCACAACGACTCTTAATAAGACCTTGCTCAAGTGCTTGTGCAATTGCAATTCCAAGGGATTCCTCATAACCATAATAAGCTGCAGTGTCAAAATGCCTATAGCCAGCTTGGATGGCAGCAATCAAAGCAGGGATGAGCTCATGAGATGGTGGTAAGGGTACCGTTCCTGTACCAAAACCTAGCATTGGCATCTTATGGCCTGAGTTTAGCACCACTTCTGGGATTTCCTTTGCTTCCATTGCAGCTAATAAATGATATCAAAGGGACAAAGATTGTTGAGGTATGGACATATACAAAGATTGTTGAGGTATGGATATATATATATATATATATATATATATATATATATATATTTATATTTATATATATATGAGGTTTACATTTCTGCAGCTGTTGTACGTGCAACAATAAATACTTGCCATATATACGTGAAAGCATTAAATGCGTATAATCATAACCATACAAAAGATGAAAGCATTAATGTGAGAAATCATAACCATACACACATCGTTGCTGCGGCGGCAGAAATAATTTTACCTATATATATATATATATATATATGGGTTTTATAAGAGTTATGTTGTAGGAAAAATGATTGTGTAATGTTATATAGATTCGTTTTGTGTGCCGTATTTTTTTTTTCTTTTTTCTTCAAAAAAGTGTGGGCCCCACAAAATATTGTGTGTGTAGGAAAGTTTGTTATGTCATATTAAATGACAAATCAAACTCATATATATATATATATATATATATATATATATAAATGACAAATGTTCAACATTGCACTCTTTCAGGCTTAATGAGGTACCTTTAATAATGCATTAAAATTCTGAATTAAATATAATAATAATAAATGTTAAGCATTAAATAGTAGATTATATATATATATATATATATATATATATATATATATATAGATAGATTCAGAAGATACTAGAATAAAATAAATTATTGGATTCAAGTGCTTGAAAATGTAAAAAAAAAAAAAAATTGTGAAAGCTAGCCCCATCATAATTTGGATATTTCCGCTTCGAACAAAATTATCTCCCGCGAAAGTGAAGGATACTTGTTATTTATATTTAAAAAAAGAATAAAATATATTATTAGGAATGAGAAAGTGGTGAAAGGTTTAATTTGGGCTTTAAATAGTTTATATGAAGCTATAGATTCAAATATCATTATTGTACTAAAAAATACTAGAATAAAATAAAAATTATTCTTATTTGTTATGAGTATATATACAATTCAGATTTTGACATTTGAATTATTTTATTCTTTGGTGGCGTCTTCAACGTTGAATGGGCTTTAAGCAAAAAGTACCCTTCTACTAAAAAGAACAAGAAGAAGTTTAATGGAGATCTCGGCGATTGGTGAACCATCCGCTGAGGAGGTTGATCTCTTGAAGCGTAGTACTGACAAAGCTAAAGAAGTGTTAGGGAAGAAACCGATATCTTATAAGGATACACTCTTACAGTTGAATGGGCTGAAAGTTACGGATGACGTCGAGGAAAGGGATTGGTTTGAGGAGTTGGATGTTCATGGTATGGAGGAGGATGTTCAATCAAATGACCAAGATGATCCTTTCTGTCCTACATACAGATTTTCAAAAGAACTATATAAGGAGAGTTGCAGGCCTTGGAAGCAAGCTGTGATTATCAAGCTCTTGGGAAAAAAGGTTGGTGTAAAGTTTCTGCTGAACAGACTCTTGAAGATGTGGAATCTGTCGGGGACACATGAGTTCATTGATATGGAGAACGATTACTTTTTGTTTCGTTTTGCGGATTTGAATGACTACAACTTTGTTTTGGAGGAAGGGCCTTGGATTGTGGCAGACCATTATGTTTCTGTTCAACGGTGGCGACCATTATTTGATCCTTACGAGGACAACCTTAAAAAATTAGCTGTTTGGATCCGTATTCCAGGGTTACCTATGGAGTTCTATACCTCCCAACATTTGCGGAACATAGGTGATCTATTTGGGAAAACACTGAAGATTGATAGGAACTCTATACGTAAAAGTGATGCTGGTGATGGGGTTGTTACGGAAAGGGCCAAGTTTGCGCGTATTTGCGTAGAAGTAGATCTCAGTAAAGGCTTCTTGTCTAAATTCAATCTCATTAATAAGGTTTATACGGTAGGGTATGAAGGCCTTCACATGATCTGCTTTGCATGTGGTAAGTATGGGCATAGGCGTGACACTTGTTCTTCGGTTTCGGTGTCAACCGATAGTCATTCTCACCAAAAGGATGTTCGTGCAGAGGTTGTTAACAATGGTGTCAGGCGTGAGATGGCAGAAGGTGAAGCTTTTGGTTCTTGGATGATTGTCCAAAGGAGTCAACGGGGAAGGAAGGCAAAAGCTACCATGGAGACTGCCGCAATCAATGCTGCCGCAATCAATGCTACCGCAATCAATGCAGCCGGGAATCAGGGGTCATCCGTTACAACTGGCCAAAGGAGAATTAATGCTCAAGGAATAAATCATTCTGTTTCACGTCCAGCTAAAATCAAGCAGCAGAAACCCGATAATCATGTGGGAATTAAATCGGCTACAATGATTAATGCAAAAAATAACGGTTCTGGAGCTTCAAAGGTGGCGTCTTCAACGGCTGGATCAAGATTTTCAGTTATTTCTGACGAAGTTAATGATAATCATGATGTTAATTATGAGAATATTCAAATCATTAATGATAAGCATGGCCCCTCTAAGGTAACCGCTAGTGCTGATTTGAAAAAGGGTTTAAATAATAAGATTTCGAATTTTCCTCGTGATAAACGTTATCTTTCAGCAGCTATTCTCCCTAGCTCAAATACAGTTACAAATTTGGTGGGACCCTCTATGCCAAATCAAAATCTAAGTGGCCCTGAGCTTATGCCAGTTGTTCAAAAAGGTACTGTTATTCCTCAGGTAGAAGAAAGGATTTTGTCTCGACCACAAGAGGCTACTGTTTCCAAGTCTTCTACTTTGTCGCAAAATGGAAAAAAAAAGAAAGAGTTACGTGATGAAATTAACAGGAATAAAAAGGCAGTTGCCTTATCTATTGTCCCAAAGAGTTTTAAGCAAAGGGCTAAGCCGTTCATTGCTTCGAGCTCGGCAAAAAAAATTTCAGCAATGGACATTAATGGCAGAAAGCCTCTTGTTCTCTCTTCTACATCATCTCCTCCACATGTGGTAACTCCCTCAGATTCCGGTAAAAGGGAGGATGAGTTGATATTTCCATAATAACGCATGACAACAAGAGTCCGGTTACTCTTTCCAGCTCGAAGGATGTTGAGGCTTCGAATGCTAGTTTGAGACCTGCTGATGTACCCTCGGTGATGCGGGATAGTTCTGATCTCCCCAAAGTCTAATGACAGGGTGTTTTTCATCCTTTCTCATTATTTTTTGTGGTTCTTTGATGAGTGTGTGTGTTTGGAATTGCAGGGGGGCCGGAAAAAAAGGGTTTTTCTCCCCTTATTAGGGACTTGTCTCGTCGTTTTAATATTCAAGTTATGGCTTTGCTTGAAACTCGTATCGGAGCTGACCGTGCTCAGAAGGTGGTGAAAGGCTTTGGCTTTCAAAAGCATGTTATGGCTCATCCTCAAGGTTTTTCTGGTGGTCTGTGGGTGTTATGGAATGATGATGAAGCTCAGATTCAGATTTTAGAGTCTCATCGTCAGTTTATCCATTTAAAAATTTTTCGGCGTAATAGGAGGAAGGAGGAAGCTGTTACTTTTGTTTATGCCAGTCCGCGGCGTCTTGAGAGGGTGTCTCTGTGGGATGCTCTAGGAAGGTTACAACAGCAATCCTCGGAGGCTTGGTGCATTTTGGGAGATTTCAATTCTTATTTGCATGCAGCAGAAAAGGAGGGAGGTGGCCCGCCTGATTGGAGGAGTATTTATGATTTCCAAAATTGTATTATGAACTGCAATCTGGAAGACTTGGGTCATCAGGGGCCTACTTTCACTTGGCATAGAGGCAGATTGAAGGAACGTCTTGATAGAGTTTGTGCGAATGAGCAGTGGAAATTGTCATTTCCTGACAGGGTTGTGACTCATCTTCCCTGCTACTGCTCGGATCATAGACCTCTTCTTCTCTGGGAGGGTCCTTCTCCTCACCATCCTGGAGGGAGCCGTCCATTTAGATTTCTGGCAGCCTGGCTCACTCATGAGGATTTTCCTGGCCTAGAGCAGGAGTGTTGGAATGGGAGTACAGGTTGGGGCACAGCTAGTGAAACTTCTCGATCGAATGCTTCTCACTGGCATAGGGAGTGCTTTAGGGAAGATGCCAAGCTTAAGAATAATCTTCAGGCGAGACTAAGGGGTATTGACCGTAGTCTTAGTCACCATCCTTGCCATGCTCTAGAAATTCTGCAGAAAGATCTTTGGCGTCAGTTGAATCTCATTTATATTCGGGAGGATCTTACTTGGTTTCAGCGGTCTAGGGCTAGCTGGTTGAAATATGGTGACCGGAATACAAAATTCTTCCATTCTACTACAGCTGCTAGGAGGAGGAGAAAACGTATTGATGCTCTGAAAAATGATGCGGGTGATTGGATTGGTGATCCCTCTATTCTGATGAATATGGCGGTGGAGTATTATCGTAATTTGTTTAAAGAGGATAATACTGCTAGACCTGGGCTTCCAATTAGAGGCTATTTTCCTCACCTTGTGCAAGAGCACAACATTCATATTGGTAGCATTCCTTCGAATGAGGAGATTAGGAGTACAGTTTTTTCCATGGGACCTCACAAAGCTCCAGGGGTGGACGGTCTTCATAGTCTATTTTTCCAATCTCAATGGGATACTGTAGGAAGCTCTGTTTGTGATATGGTGAAAGATGTGTTTAATAATCCCCAAAAAGTTCGGGATATTAATCAAACTCTTATTTGCCTGATCCCGAAGATAACTTCACCTCAATCCCTTAAAGATTTCCGGCCTATTAGCCTTTGTAATGTTATTTATAAGACTATTACTAAGCTTATTTCTAACCGTTTGAAATTGCAGATGGATAAAATTGTTATGCCTAACCAGTGTAGTTTCATCAAAGGAAGGCAAGGGACAGATAATGTAATTATTGCTCAGGAAATTATTCACTCTATGAGGTCAAAGAAAGGCGCCAAAGGTTGGATGATGATTAAGGTGGATCTGGAGAAAGCTTATGACAGAATTAGCTGGGACTTTCTCCGAGATACTCTTCAGGATGTGGGACTCCCCCCAAATCTCATTAATCTTGTTATGTGGTGTGTTTCTTCTTGTTCGA